ATGTTCTGGCGTAATACTCTCCCCCACAGCTGCTGGCTCATTGTGACACCTCACAAACTTCAACCGCCTCATTTGATTGAACTTGATTTTGGGCACAGAAAGTTTCTGCCAGTCATCAGTTGGCAATGAGCATGTGGTACAATGGACAGACGTTCTGCACCCAACTATTTGAGTTCCTCCTCACGTTTCCCACCTGCCTTGTTCTCTGCGGTGGTTCAGAAAGCGACCCCAGCCCTGCAAGGTGGGTTAGGATGCAGAGGAAGCAGATGGCACCCCATGAGCTGAGTGCGAATTTGAACCCAAACCTTCCCTAATCCAAGGGCACCGATGGAGACACCGGACCGGCACTCTGATTGTTCCTGGCTTCTTAGAAATAAGATGCCCCGTCAGTAAAGTTTAAAAGAAATTGTCCCGATGGGAAGCGGGGGAGCAAGCACAATTCACTGCCCACTCGTAACGTAATTTTAGTGTAGGTAAAATATTAACTCTCCAGGGTGCGTGAGGGCATTTCTTCCAAGGTATCTTTTGCGATAACGCTGAAATCATCTAGAGAATGCCACGCTGTGCCACCCAGTTGCACCGGTGGGCCGTTATCAGCAGAAATGAGAAAGCGCTGCAATATAAGCTATAAAATTCCTTGGGAGTCATTCACACGAGATAAACAAAGAACCTTTCCGCCTCTCTCTGAGACAGGCCAGGATTCTAATAGGAGTATTAAGAAAACCCAACCTGCTTGGGGCAGGTCTTCATTTGGGGTCTGTAGGGAGGTAAAGGTGAAAGGTAAAGGTTCCCTTGCTCGAAAGCCAGTCGAGTCCGACTCTGGACTGAGACAGATGTAAACGACTTCTTCGTCTCTCCCTAGACCCTGGTTTGAATCCCTCTTAGGGCTTCCAGCTTCAGCTCAGCTGTGCAAAACGAATCTTCACGAACCCAGCAATTTTGTTGAACTCGATCCGCTCAGGTTTTCCAGCTTCTGAGAGTTCTTAGCATTTGACTGGGGAGAACAAAAGCTCGGTAGAAATGTATCCAAATGTTGGAAATGAGGGTTCAAGTCACATTATTTATTTTATTTTATTTTATTTATTTAAATTTCTACCCCGCCCTCCCCACGAATGGGCTTAGAGCGGCTAACAAACAGGGGCACCATGTCCCAATACATAAAAACCAAATAAAACAGGATAAAACAGAATAAATGACCAAAAATTACATAAAGTGCTCAATGCTGTTACTCTTGAATTAAGACAAGATGGTGTCCAGTAGATGTTGCCTCCGTCCCAGTACAACGGTACTGATCCACCACGCCACTGAAGTTCGATCGTCCTAGGGCCGCTCCGTTCCCAGTTATCTGCCGGGTTTGTTGGTAGTGGTAGTAGTGGTGTCTCCTAGTTGAAAGCCTGGTGGAAGAGCTCCGTCTTGCAGGCCTTGTGGAACTGTACAAGGTCCCAACTCTAGGGTTGCGGTGCTCATCTCCGTTTCCAAGCCGAAGAGCCAGCGCTGTCCGAAGACGTTTCCGTGGTCATTTGGCCGGCATGACTAAACACCAAGGCGCACGGAATGCTGTGACCTTCCCACCGAAGTGGTACCTATTTATCTACTTGCAATTTCTTGCTTTTGAACTGCTCGGTTGGCAGGAGCTGGAACTAGAGACGGGAGCTCACTCCATCATGCAGCACCCGGGTCTCGAACTGCTGAACTACTGACCTTCCACAGCCTGCAGTTCAGCATCTTAACCACTTGAGCCACCGCAGCTCCTCTGTAGGGAGGTACAAGCCACCAGTTCTTTCCGGATTTGCTTGACCTGTTGGGCCTCATTTCAAATTGTTAAAACTATTTCATTAAACACCTTCTGCCTTTCTTTGAGCGTGTATACAATTACCCACTTTAACTGCCGCTTTAAACATGATGCCACTGTTTACCGTATTTGTATTTAAAGTGGCACAAAGATTCCGGGTCAGGGACAAAATTTTCTTCTTCTCTACTCAAAGGGGAAAGGTTAGCTCTCAAGTCACAATACCAGTTCAACCAGCAGCTACTACCAAACCTGATTCAGAGGAGAAGCTCCGCTAATCATGTTTTAATAATTGCATGAGCGTCCGAGTGTGTGTGGGAGACCCAGATGCACACTAAGCAGAAGGCCCTGGGTTCAACCCACAGCGGATACAGTTAAGAGGGTCTTTGGGAGCAAGTGTTGAAAGACCCATCCAAGATCCTGGAGAGCAGCTGCCAGCCAGAGTAAGTAATATTAAGGTAGCTGAACCACTGGCTGCTTCATGTGTGCAGGTCTAGGGGTGGGACAGGAACGAGACCGTATGGTTCCATTGCTTTGACTGGGTGGTTGAGAAGAAGCTCTAAGGCAGGCGTCCCCAACAGGGGGCTCATGGGCGACATGGCGCCCACCAATATTTCTTGGTGACTGACCATCAAGTGTTTTTAAAAAGTAGGTGGCGCCCTTGCCCAGCAGGTCATCTGATTGGTCATTGGACATATAATGAGCTGTGCAGATTTTTTTTTTTTTAATTGCCTCAGTGACCATGACCACCTCAGTGTTGGTTTTCTTTTCTTTCACACTTTTCTTTCGTGTATTTTTTTAACAATCATCCCTCATTCTCCCCTCCAATTAGGCTTCTTCTCTCTGTGTGTGGCCCCGCCTCCTGTGGCAGCCATTTTGTGCTTGGCTCTGCCTACTGTGGCAGTCCTTTTGTGCTTGGCCCCACCTCCTGTGGCAGCCAATTTGTAGCTGCACCCACCACCCTGTGTCCAAATTCTAAAGGGGCCCATGGGCTCAAAAAGGTTGGGGACCCCTACTCTAGGGTTGCCAGGTCCCCTTGTCTTGCTGGCCGGGGGATCTGGGAGGCATTCCAGGAGTGGCTGGGGATGTCCCCAATGCGCTGGTGTCACCCAGAAGTGACATCATCGTGTCAGCGACGTCAGGGGGCAACGCTCTGGTTTTTGGATGAAACTCTATGGTAAAATCAGAATCAAACCATGGAGTTTTGGCCAAAGTGTCGCCTCGCCACACGATGTCCCCGGTGTGATGACATCACTTCTGGGTGACGTCATCGCATCGGGGGTGTTGCTGTTTGGGGGGGTTCCCTCGCCAGCCAGCTGGCCAGTGGTGGGCAGAAGCCCCCCAAACTGGGGTATTCCCCGCCCAGGCCTGGCAAATGGCAACCCGACCAGTGTTCCTTCTAAGCTGAGTGAGTGTGAGCTAGCTCACAGTCTTTTAGCCTCCGGCTCACACATTTTTGTCTTAGCTCGGATGGGGCTCCAGAGAAAAACTCATTTATGCAGCAGCCGAATCGCTCGCTCACGACTTTAATGCCAGTCGCTCGCAAAGTAGGATTTTTGCTCACAAGACTCCACAGCTTAGATGGAGCATTGAATCCGACCCTGCTTTAAGGACACAAGGCACAAGTCGCTTGTCCTGCTGATTATCCGTTCATTACTTAAAGCCTCAGGACATACCTCAGGCCTTAACCACAGGACCAATTTCTGCATTCCCCGCCCAGGCCTGGCAAATGGCAACCCGACCAGTGTTCCTTCTAAGCTGAGTGAGTGTGAGCTAGCTCACAGTCTTTTAGCCTCCGGCTCACACATTTTTGTCTTAGCTCAGGAAGGAGGGCTCCAGAGCAGACTAATCTATGCAGTAGCCAAATCGCTCTCTCACAGGTTTAATGCCAGGAGCTCACGAAGTAGAATTTTTGCTCACAAGAACTCCACAGCTTAGAGGGAGCATTGGAGGGGACCCTGCTCTAAGGACACAAGGCGCAAGTTGCTTGTCCTGTTGATTATCCATTCATTACATAAAGCCTCAGTACCTACCTCAGGCCTTAACCACAGGACCAATTTCTGCTATTTCTGTGTATGAACGACAGTATGCCTCGTTGGTCTTTTGCACGTAGGTTCAACTCAATGAAAGGCCATCTAGAAAATTGTGGGGGTGCGTTTGGAACTGTCCTCTTAACCCCCATGTGCATTGGCTGAACATTCCTAGAGTTTTCTGCTTTACTTCTCTCAATTTTTAAATGTTTAGTAACATCTGGCCTGATGAAGAGTTCTGCTGAGCTTGAAAGCTTGCACACTCTTACAGGTCGGTCCTAAGAGAGGTTATTACGTGGCTTTTGCTCTTGGGTTTTACTTTTGGACTGAGACAGATGTAAACGACTTCTTCGTCCCTCCCTAGACCCTGGTCTGAATCCCTCTTAGGGCTTCCAGCTTCAGCTCAGCTGTGCAAAACGAATCTTCACGAACCCAGCAATTTTGTTGAACTCGATCCGCTCAGGTTTTCCAGCTTCTGAGAGTTCTTAGCATTTGACTGGGGAGCACAAAAGCTCGGTAGAAATTTATCCAAATGTTGGAAATGAGGGTTCAAGTCACATTATTTATTTAATTTAATTTAATTTATTTAAATTTCTACCCCGCCCCTCCCCACGAATGGGCTCAGAGCGGCTAACAAACAGGGGAACCATGTCCCAAAACATAAAAACCGAATAAAACAGGATAAAACAGAATTACCAAAAATTACATAAAGTGCTCAATGCTGTTACTCTTGAATTAAGACAAGATGGTGTCCAGTAGATGTTGCCTCCGTCCCAGTACAACGGTACTGATCCACCACGCCACTGAAGTTCGATCGTCCTAGGGCCGCTCCGTTCCCAGTTATCTGCCGGGTTTGTTGGTAGTGGTAGTAGTGGTGTCTCCTAGTCGAAAGCCTGGCGGAAGAGCTCTGTCTTGCAGGCCTTGCGGAACTGTACAAGGTCCCACAGGGCCCTGATCTCCTCCGGGAGCTCATTCCACCAGGTAGGGGCCGCCACTGAGTAGGCCCTGGCCTCCCTGGGGCCTGGGATCGCTAAGCGATGTTGTGCCCCAGACCGTAGTGCTCTTTGGGGTATATACAGAGAAAGGCGGTCCCTCAGGTATGTTGGTATCCTCAACCAGTTGGGTTCTAGCTAAGCCAGCACCTGCTGGACCCATAATTCTCTTCCTGTCTCCCTTCCAAGCTGTGCAGAACGAGCGCGACAGGATCAGCATCCGCCGAAGCAGCTACGAAGACAACGGGGCTTTGTCTATCACGGTGTTGACCCAAGCGGAGGCAATGGCCCAGCAGGTAAGAAGCTCTTTTCCCTCTTCCTCTTCTTGGATAACTTAGGACCTACAGTAGACAGCAGAGGGTTGGTTGAAACTCAACTAAGGTCCGCTTCTCATCAAGGCCCCATGAGATTAGCCTCAACAAAATGAAAGTCTCCTCCCCCACAAAGAAAAGCCTATATATAAAGAAAGCTAGTGTGTCAGGGAGAGGACAAGGACATCTCCCTGATGAGCTAGATTTCTGTGTATGGGGAACTGAATGGAGAAGCATTCGATCACGCGAGTCCCCACATGGTTTCAATCCAGATACAGGATCCTCTTTCCCCCTGGTGTTCATGAGAATTAGGGCTGCCAACTCCAAGCTGGGAAATTCCTGGAGATTTGGAGGTGCAGCCTGGGGAGGTAAGAATTTGGGGGGAGACTTCAGCAGGGCCTAATGCCATAAAGTCCACCCTCCAGCCATTTTCTTTCGGAAAAAACAGAGATCAGTTGTAGATACGGGAGATCTCCAGGCCCTGCCTGGAGGTTAGCTACCACAAAGTATAAATGACTTTTCCACTACAGTCACAGGTAACATTTCGAAGGAAGAAGATTCGGCAACTGCAGAAGGAAGGAGGTTCTGGTGTCTTCATTTTCTAATTCATTGTGAATTTGCTTTACTGTTGCATATTATAATGATATTCTGATTTTATATGCTGAGCGTTTTGGCTTTTTGAGCGCAGGCTCGAGCTTCTGGACGATTAAAATTAGGTATATTTTAAAAATTAGGTATATAAGACAAATCTCCAGTGTCCTGCTTCTGCCAAGTCTAATTGAGCTGGATGTTCTAAACGAAATCGTTTCCGGCTTTGGTTTGCTTTCTGATAGAGAAGAACGCTTTAGCTTTAACTCACGCTGTCATTAAAAGAGTTATGATCTAATGCCACCTTCTGGACAAAGCGAACATTTACCATTCTGTGAATACCTGAGCAGCTAGACAGCCCCATTTAAGGAAGAGTGGGGGAGATTGCAGGAGGTAGGGCGTTCCCTCTAAGCTGAGTTAGTGTGAGCTAGTTCACAGTTTTTTAGCCTCCAGCTCACACATTTTTGTCTTAGCTCAGGAAGGATGGCTCCAGAGCAAACTAATTTATGCCGTATCCAAATTGTCTGCTCACAACTTTAACGCCAGCAGCTCACAAAGTAGAATTTTTGCTCACTGTCTCTTCAGCTTAGGGGGAGCATTGGTACCAAGGGGAAACTCTCATTAAAGCACATCCAACCTTTCTGCTTGCAGTATTCGGCGCTCCGTCCAGTGCACAGTGCCGATATCGCCATGAAGAAGATCGCAACTATCAACGACGTCTGCGAATCGATGAAGCAGCAGCTCTTGATCCTCGTCGAATGGGCGAAATACATCCCAGCATTCTGTGAGCTTCCACTGGACGACCAGGTAAAATAAAAGGAAACTATGCAGAGATGCTTTGCATTCATCCTTCAGAAGTCCGTTGCAAAAGAAGCGAAGGTGGTTTTAGGCTGCATTCGTAGAAGCAGAGTACCTATAAAGTACCGAGGCTGATGCACGGCAGAGTGATTTCGGCTCATACTTTATTATAAAACCAAGAACTTGAGATGGCTTAGCCGGCCAACGAAGCTCGGGTCCTTCGCCCGACTGCGTGTTTGCCCGGCCACGTGCGCGGGCTTCCCTGAGTACACAAGTCCGGAGCGCCACTCTGTTCTGTGCTAGTCGATGGGAGAAGTCTGTCCGACTCCGGCTGCTGCTCTTTAAAAAGGATGTGGGCAACTTGCAATGGGCTGAGGCTAACAGACCCCGTTCGACGAAGTTCAGGTCCTTCGCCCGACCACGTGTTTGCCCGGCCACGTGAGCGGGCTTCCCTGAGTACACAAGTCCGGAGCGCCACTCTGTTCTGTGCTGGGAGAAGTCTGTCCGGCTCCGGCTGCTGCTCTTTAAAAAGGATGTGGGCCTTGCAATGGGCTGAGGCTAAGCAGACCCCGTTGATTTATTTATTTGGAATGTTTCTGTGGCGCCCTGACCTGTATGGCCCAGGCTAGCCAGATCTCGTCAGATCTCAGAAGCTAACACCTGTTCGGAGTCCTGCTCAAGGAAGGTTATCAACTAAAAGCACAAGCAGTGTAAAGTAAAGGTAAAGGTTCCCTTGCTTGAAAGCCAGTCGAATCTGACTCTAGGGTTGCGGTGCTCATCGGGTCACCCTAAGTCAGCTGTGACTTGATGGCAAAAATTTCAGAAATTAACATTCTGTGCTGCCTGTTCAGAGACCTGCTCAAGGGAGGTTATCAACGAAAAGCACAAGCAGCGTACAAATCCATAAAAATCCAGCTCCCCCATACCCAAAATGGAAAACCAACATTTCAAAATTCAGAACTTCGGTCACATTTCAGAAATCCGGCAACTTTTATTACTTTGAGAACATGTTTGACACAGGAAACTGCCCTATACTGAATCAGACAATTAACACTTGAGCCACCACAGCTCCTATAAGCAGCGTACAAAGCCATAAAAATCCAGCTCCCCATACCCAAAATGGAAAAACAACATTTCAAAATTCAGAACTTTGGTCACATTTCAGAAATCCAGCAACTTTTATTACTTTGAGAACATTTTTGACACATGAAACTGCCCTATACTGAATCAGACAATTAATCCATCAAGGTTGGTATTGTCTACTCATACACCACTGCTGGACCTCCTGATGGCACCTGGTATTTCTGGCCACTGTGTGACACAGAGTGTTGGACTGGATGGGCCATTGGATCCAACATTGACTCCTCTAATGTTCTTATGTTATTAACTGGCAGGGGCTCTCCGCAGTGCTCCCTCTAAGATGAATTAGTGTGAGCTAGCATGCAGTTTTTTAGCCTCCAGCTCACACATTTTTGCCTTAGCTCAGGAAGGGTGGCTCCAGAGCAAACTAATTTGTGCAGTCGCCTAATCACTCACTCACCACTTTAATGCCAGGAAGTCACAAAGAAGAGAAGAAGAAGAGATTGGATTTATACACCGCCCTTCACTTGGAGTCTCAGAGCGGCTTACAGACTCCTTTCCCTTCCCCTCCCCACAACAGACACCCTGTAAGGTGGGTGGGGCTGAGAGAGCTCTGACACAAACTGCTGTTTTTCAAGGACAGCTGTGCCAGAGCTTGTGACTGACCCAAGGTCACATCAGCAGGTGCAAGTGGAGGAGTGGGGAATCAAACCCGGTTCTCCCAGATTAGAGTCTTAACCACTACACCAAACTTGGAGAGCAAGTAGAATTTTTGCTCACAAGACTCCACAGCTTTGCTCCACATCAGCTTCTACCTGATTCTTTCAACTGGAGATGCTGGGGATTGAACCTGGGACCTTCTGCATAAGCAGAAGCTCTTCTACTGAACCACTGCTTCTCCCCAATATGAACACATGAAGCTGCCTTATACTAAATCAGACCATCGGTCCATCAAGGTCAGTATCATCTATTCAGACTGGCAGGGGCTCTCCAGGGTTTCAGGTGGAGGTCTTTCACACCACCTGCTGCCTGGTCCTTTTAACTGGACATGTCAGGGATTGAACCTGGGACCCTCTGCATGCCCAGCAGATACTCAACCACTGAGCCATAGCTTCAGATGGGGGAAGGGAGTCATCCGTGGTCATTGCAAAAGACAGTGATAGCTGAAGAATGCACTAAATGACAGTGGTTAGCTGTGTTCATTCGAAGCAATAGAACAGTGTGCCTGCATACGAAAGCTGATACCCAGAATTAGTGAAGCAACCACAAAATACCCCATGAAATAACCATGTTCAAGGTCTACTACTGCTCAAAGCAAGCAAACATTAGTTCCATAAGAATTTGGCTCTGAAGAAGAAACATAGCCGAAACTCTCGCGGCCGACAAGAGAAGTCAGCCAGCCTGTTACAGCCTCCTTGCAGACCCGGAAGTTGGCAACTGTGTACAGCCTACTCATTGGTCTGACTGGGAAGGCTGTTTGTGTATTTTTCTAAGCCTTAGTGTTAAATGTCATAAGCTAACTGGGACGTTTATTTCATGTAGTGTTTTTGATTTATGCATTGTGTTAAACATACGCCTTTATAAAAACCTTGCGTGGTAGAAGACCTTGAACATAGTTATTTCACGGGATACTTTGTGGTTGTTTCACTGAGTGCAGTATCTCCGTGGTCCCGCTGTATTTATTGATACCCAGAATTAAACTTTGTTGGTCTTAAAGGTGCCCCTGGACTCAGACTTTGTTCCAATGACAGTGGATCATCTTCAGGTTCACAGCAGCAGTAAAAAGGTAAAGGTTCCCTTGCTCGAAAGCCAGTCGAATCCAACTCTAGGGTTGCGGTGCTCATCTCCGTTTCCAAGCCGAAGAGCCAGCGCTGTCCGAAGACGTTTCCGTGGTCATGTGGCCGGCATGACTAAACACCAAGGCCGTGCACGGAACGCTGTTACCTTCCCACCGAAGGGGTACCTATTTATCTACTTGCAATTTCTTGCTTTCGAACTGCTCGGTTGGCAGGAGCTGGAGCTAGAGACGGGAGCTCACTCCGTCATGCGGCACACTCGGGTCTCGAACTGCTGAACTGCCGACCTTCCACAGCTTGCAGTTCAGCGTCTTAACCACTTGAGCCACCGCAGCGCCAACAGCAGCAGTACTGAGAGGCAAAACTAAGGCCTTTTGCAAGCTGCAGTAAGAGGGACTGCCTCTCCCGATCTAGAAAGCGGCTGATCCTTCTCTCTCTCTCTTGTGATCCACAGGTCGCCTTGCTGAGAGCCCATGCAGGGGAGCACTTGCTGCTGGGAGTGGCGAAACGTTCTATACCATACACTGATTTTCTACTATTAGGTAATGTTGCTCATTCCCTTTCCTTGGGCTTTTGCAATAGATCACTCCCAGATCGCCCGCAGCTTCTTTTTGAAATTTCATTTGAAACATTCCCATGCTACCTTTCCACCCATAGAGTCTCTCCAGTTTTTAAATTATTATTCGCATTTGTTATTGTCAGGGGTCATTTCGTAGAAGAAGAGGTGCAGGAGCGCATTAGCATAACTCATTATCATAGCTTATTTACATATGCCACACCCCCTGACATCACCGGAAGTGTGTCAGAAGGCAACACCCACCGCTCAGGCTTCACTGGACTGTTCTGGAGAGCTAGCTATTGGGGGGGGGGACGTGCAGATCTGTCCTCACAGGGGAGGGGGAGCTTGTACCTGAATAAAACTTGGTCTTAAAGGTGCCACTGGACTGTTTTGGACTGTGGGGGGGGCCTCTGCAACTTCCCTGGCTGCTTCTTGCTCTGACTGAGGGTTGCGGGGAGCAGGGGGCGGGGCTTGTTGCATGTGCCCGCCCCCTGGGCTCCTTACTGCCAGCGCTCCACTCCTGTGCGCTCCTGCAGGAAATGACCCCTGGTTATTGTTGTCATAACAGAATGACCCGCATAGCTACCTAGTCTAAATCCCTATACTAAGGCCACTTTCAGGCATTAGAAACTCCAGTTTGCTTATGATAAACCTGTTGATCTCAGGCTGACATGCTCTTTCCTTCCCGAAGCTTGTTGACAGCAATGATGATCCTGTGAACTTGGGCAGATCATGAGAGGGAGGGCAGGAAGGGTTACCTCAGTGCTTAGTTCTTGTGGCCCTTTCTTACACAACCCCGGGAAACCACTTTGAGGTCTGGAAGCAATTTTTCTCCAGGCCAGTTTGGCTGGAGATCCTAGAGATTTTTGGCATCTTCTGGCCATGGAACAGGGATTGCTGAGGGTGTGTGGGGGGGAGGTATTTGTGAATTTCCTGCATTGTGCAGGGGGTTGGACTGGATGACCCTGGAGGTTCCGTCCAACTCTGTGATTCTATGATACCATAAAAGCCGGCATAACATGAATGCAGACAATGAAAACAAGACAATGAAACCAATTCCTTAGAACAGGGTGTCAAACACGTGGCCCGGGGGCCGGATCAGGCCCCTGGAGGGCTTCCATCAGGCCTGCAGTGGAACTGGCCATCTCCTGCTTCCAGTTCTGCTGCTGTATCATAGCTCACTTTGCCAGACTCTCTCAATCACTCAGCCATTTCATGTTTTGACCTGGGTCCTAGACTCAGAACTCTGAGCATGAGAGTTCTGTGGTGAACGTCAATACATAAAAAGTAGGTTTTGCAGCTTACAGAGCTAATGTTTTAAGCCTGTTTTTATTTTAAGTAAAAAAACCACACCTTTGTGGTTGTGTCCTTCATAAAGTTTATATCTCCGCTACCTGGCATTACATTTTATGACTGGCCCGGCCCGACAAGGTCTCATTTATGTCAGATCCGGCCCTTGTAACAAATGAGTTCGACACCCCTGCCTTAGAAAGTATTAAAACCGTAACAAGAAATACAAAACTGAAATAATATGAAGACCCATTATCTCTCTCTCTCTCTCTCTCAAAAACATGCCCTGAGCCCGTATCCTTTCAGTTTTGGAGTCCAGACAGGGGAGGCATATGCAGAGGCTAACAGTCGGTTGGGGAATTACTAATCTGAAAGACCCCATTGCTCATCTATTAGAGGATCTGCCACAGTTCAGATATAAAGACAATTCCTCTTTTCATTGTTAAGTAGCTAAGCCTGGAGGATCTTTGGACCTATGCAGTGGCTCCCTCTCCTTTCCTGCAGCTATCTAAGTATGAATGTTCACTTCTGTGGGAAAATATAGATTTTCATTATGTCCCAAATCATCAACTATGGTTTGCTCTCCCCCCCCCCTGCAAATTGCGATTCCGTGCAAACAGAGATTTCACGATTCAATCCTGCAAATCCTGTGTGGTCCAGAAATAATGACAAACTCTGTCTCGGCTCAAAAAGTGGAGGGTGGGGAGGAAGAGTGCACGAATCAAAGCAGGGAGACCCAGGTTTGCCGTTACATCCAAATCCAGACTTAGTTTCCCATACTGTCTGCTCTTCAATGTAACCGTAAAAGCTTGAACAAACGTCAGCCCGGTTTTTGTTTTGTTGGACCAAATGACCAGCGTCATGCTGAATATTTGACTTCCTCTTCTCCAGGAAATGACTTTATCATCCCGATGCAGTGCCCAGAGCTGGAAATTGCTCGTGTGGCCATTCGGATCCTGGACGAACTGGTGAAGCCCTTGCGAGAAATTCAGATTGATGAAAACGAATACGCATGCCTCAAAGCTATTATATTCTTTGATCCAGGTACAGTTCCCTGACAGATCTTGGCAAAACTATTTCTCAGTGGGGATGATGGAACATTTCAATGGCTGGGATCGACGGCTGATTTCTGGATCTCCTGCGTCTGAAACTCCCTCAAGGAATTACCTGATGTCTCTTCTCGTCTTTCAAATCTGTCTTCGAAACCCACCTTTTCAACTTTTGGTTTAAACCCTCATCCACAAGCATAACCAAGTTCAAGTATATGCAAATATGTGCAGATATTATCTGCTTTCTATCAAGTCTCACCACTACTCTACCCTGCTCCATATTGTCTATAATGGGCAGTGACTCCCTAACAGCCTTTAAGGGGAGATGGCAAAGATGGAATCCTTCTTGGACTCTACCACTGAGCCACAGCTTCTTTCATGTCCATCTCTTACTACCCTGGTCTCTCTCTCTCTCTCTCTCTTTTATACTGTAAGATCTTTGGAGGCAAGGACTTTGCAAAAAATTAACTCTATGTACATTGATTAATAAATAAAATAAATAAATACTGTATCTAAGAATGTTCAGTGGTTGACCGCTATGCGTGAATTGCTATGGAAGCAAGCAAGGTAACATTTATCATCTGGGGCGAAAGGCTATTATAATTAGGATGTACAGTCCTAATTGCAGTAAGTGCAACTCCTTAGTAGTACTGATCAAGTCTATGCAACTCCACAGTAGGAGAATAAGCAGCACTTCCAGCAGGAAACAGTTTGTGTGACTACACAGCTGCGTGTGTGTAAGGTGCTGTCCAGTTGCAGTTGACTTATGGTGACCCCATGGGGTTTTCAAAGCAAGAGATGTCCAGAGGTGGTTTGCCATTGCCTGCCTCTGCATAGCAACCCTGGTATTCCTTGGAGGTCTCCCATTGAAATACTAACCGGGCCCGACTCTGCTTAGCTTCCAAGATCAGATGAAATCGGGCTACCCTATGGAAGCAAAACTGACCATGACCACAATTTCATTTTCCTCCCAGATTGCAAAGGCCTCAGCGAGTCCGGGAAGGTGAAGAACATGCGTTTCCAAGTGCAGGTGAACCTGGAAGATTACATCAACGATCGGCAGTACGATTCGCGAGGGCGGTAAAAAACAGCGACATCCTCCTCCTGCTGCCCCCACTCCAAAGCATCACCTGGCAGATGATCGAGCAGGTCCAGTTCGTCAAGCTCTTTGGGATGGCGCGGATCGACAGCTTGCTGCAGGAAATGCTGCTGGGAGGTACAAAACTAGAGGGTGTGTGTATGTGCCCTTCCCTTCCCTTGTCAGTCTTGGAAAACGTAGGCAACGGTGCACTGGGTTAAAGCCAGAAAACAAGATCAGTTTGTTCTAGCTTTGCACACGCTGCAGACAAAGCAGTTGGCAGAGAGAGGAGAAAATGAAATTCAGAAGGCTCAGAGCACACAAAAGAAAGGAACTGCAGCAGAATTTCTCGTTGCCATAGAATAAAACATAACCACGTTGGGGTCAAAGTGACAATCATCTTCGACGTCTGTGCGTGAATGTTGGCTGAATATCTTGTTTTATGTCTTTTTTCTGGTAGGAACGACCATAGAGGTCCCACAATACCAATCGGGGCCTTCCAGCCTTAACGTTGCGCCTCTTCCAGGTCATATCGTGTTACCCAGCAACATCGGTTCCGTCATTCACACCATCTCAGTCCGTGGGTATCCAATATTCTCTCCGCTTCAGAATGGGAATTGGTCAGAATGCCGGGGCCAACAGGGGGCTTTATTGAAAGTATGAATATCCAGGATTTGAATTTGCACTTGAAAAAAATAGGATTCCCCCCCCCCCCCCAAAAAAAAAATCAGATGTTTATCTGTAAAGAAGTGCTGGAAAGGTTCAGATTTTGATGACAAGTGCAAAATATGCCAGAGGTTTGAAGGGGTATGTGTACTGAATGGAGGTTCTCTTTTCAACACCAACACCTGAAAAGCAACACACATGTTCTGTATTTTGAAACTGTATTGCTCTGAAGTGACTGGGCGCAATGTGCTGGGGAGCACGGGCAGGATGATGCTGTCTCAGTCTTTCTGTTTTGGGGCTTCCCGGAGGCAGCTGGTTGGCCCCACTGGTTGAACAGAATGCTGGATGGATTTAGATGGGCCTGTGGTCTGATCCAGCAGGGCTCTCCCGATGTCCTTATGCACAGGCTTGAATGAACGGCTTAATTTGGACATCGCTGCCGAGGTGGGGAGCTTGTAGGCAGATTTCCTTCCCATTTGGGCAGCCAAAGGGGGAAACAGCGGGGAGGAGTAAATTTTAAAGCCCATCCCAGAATCCCTTCATTTCATTTCACTGGGAACAGGAGAAGACTCCTGACATAATCATCATATAAAAAGAGCTGGATTCTCCATGCAACTCTGCAACATGGACCATTTTCCTATCATCCCTAGGGAAGGCCACGGTTGCAGCCATTCTGCAGTACGGGGGTGTCAAACGTAAGGCCCGGGGGCCGGAAGCGGCCCTTCCCAGGTTCTTATGCAGCCAGCGAGCAACTAGTGCAAGGGAGGAAACGGGAGATTGTTCGGGAGGAGTGGGCAGAGCCACTCTGATTGTGGCTTCGGCATGGCGGAACAACCTCATCTGCAGCAGTCAAGCAGTGAGAGAGAGAATGCCCAGTGCTGTACTGCTAGGTCTCCAGTCCACCCATACGGGTTTTCCTTTGGACACCCCTCCCAGCCCATGGGGCTTTGCAGTGAGGATACACCAACTCGGAGTTTACCAGCTGCTGTCCTTTACACATTTTATATCTCCGGTACCCGGCATTACATCTGATGGCACACATGGGCCAGCCCGACAAAGTGACATTTATGCCAGATCCGGCCCTCCTAGCAAATGAATTCGACACCACTGCTATAGTAGGTCACGGACAGGCAGCGTGTGAAAATAAGCATGTCCACCAACCACAGCCCTTCAAGACTTATTTTTCTCTCTTCTTCCACAGCTTCTCCTGACACATCCCTTCCTTCTCCTTCCACCAGTACCGGAAGCGAAGATTACAAGCTAGGCCCAAGCCATGGCTCTGAGGCAACTCCGACGCTTTTGCCACAGGCAATTATACCCAAACAGGAGATTCTATAAAGCAGCGAGCCACAGGAATCAACCACAAACGTACACGCTTTTGTCTCTGAAATCCAACCCGTCTAGCTCTCACACTGGCCAAGTCAACCAACGCCTACCAGAACCAGTCTTCGGGGCCCTTCTCTGCCACCCAACAAAATGGCCGCATTCAGTGAATACCCGACGACTCTCCTGTCAACCTTTTTATAGTATCGTATGTTGTTGGTGGTTTCCCGCCATCAGAATTGTGTACAGGGCAGGAAATTCCTCCTAACAGCATCTTGTTCAAGCTGATCAGTTCTCTTGTTAATCGAGCTTAAAACGGAAGTGCTGTCTATGACCGCTGTCAGTTTTTCCTCGCCTCCAAATTTCGCCCAGGTACAGACAGGGCTTAGAACACTCACATGTCCAAAGAGGTCCAAACGAACAACAAGAAAAAAGACGCAGGGGATAGCGTGTGATAAACTGGCATCCCCACGTCCTCTGCGTTATCCAACCCCCCAGCCAGAAGCAGCCCACGGAGAAAATATAGATATTCCACCAAACGAGAGAGATGTGTATACAGCTCTACGGCTGCATCTCACCACAGCCTAGTACAACCATCAATGTATCGTCAGACCCAGCTCTCAAGGCTTAGGTGGGCTTCCTTTGCTGCTCCAAAACATTCTGTGTGCTCCTTACGTAGCATAGACACAAAGAGACCCATTGACGTTAATGGGCCTAAGTGCCGTTTCGGAGCTATGTGCAGATGACAACTGAGTATGCTCTCTATCAAAGATTGGCAGTGTACAGCCTATTTTCTGCTAAACATTCAAGTACACTCCCATCTGCTGTGTGCTTGTCAAAACAGAATACAAGACTGCTTTGGAGATGATCCAAAACAGAGTAAAGGGGGGAAAGGGAGGAAGAGGTTTGTTCCACATGGATTAAAAACAAAAATGGGATTTATATGCACCTGCCACTAATTCTTGTGATTCACTGAATGGCTTCTCTTCCATTTTTTTTTTTAAAATCACAATTAGGACCGACCACGGTTTGTATCACGAGTTTTAAAGTAGTCGATCTTTAGTACACAAAGTGTTTGGCAGTAAATAAATTCATAAGGCATATTTGGTTAAAGATCTGAATAATGTCCTGATATTTCCACTGTTACTTAGTAGCTGGTTGGAACTCTTCAAGGTGACATGGGACAGGGGTGTTCACCTAAAATTTATTTAATTCATTTGCAACCCGGCCTTTCTCTCCAATGGGACCCAAAGTGGCTTACATTTGCCAGTTTGGTGTAGCGCTAAAGAGCGCGAACTCTAATCTGGGAGAACCGGGTTTGATTCCTCACTCCCCCACATGCAGCTGCTGGTGTGACCTTGGGTCAGTCACAAGTTCTCTCAGAGCTGCTCTCTCAAGGGCAGTCCTTAAGAGAGGCCCCTCAGCCTCACCTACCTCACAGAGTGCCTGTTGTGGGGAGGGGAAGGAGATGGTAAGCCACCTCTGAGACCCCCTTGAGTAGTGAAAGGCGGGGTATAAATCCCAAGCTCCTCCTCCTCCTCTTCTTCTACATAGCTCTCTTCTCCATTTTGTCCTCACAACAACCCAATGAGGTAGGCTGGGCTGAGTGTCTGATTTGTCCAAGGTCACTTAGTGAGCTTCCATGGCATGAGTGGGGGGCTCCCAGATACTAATCTGACACCCTTAACCGGCGCTACACGCTGGCTTTCCATACATACATGAAATATGTAAGGTGTGAATGCCACACATCACGAAACTGACTTGGAGTTATGTATTTACATACACGCACGAGGTAAGTGGTGGCAAGCGCTAAAAGAAAGCATCTTTACGATTTTGACTGAGAAATGCACCATCGACCTGCAGGGAAAAGCTTTCTCTGATATGCATGGGAGTAGCAGGACCCCACTTTGCTCTCACGCTGTTTCTGGGTTCACACCAATGTTCCCTCTGATGTCAGAGCACTTCACATGCTGAACAGAATATAACTGCAGTAATCTTAACAGGGGCAACGGGCAGTGCAAGACTGCTACTGAGCGGGGCTTCCTGCGATAAGGAGCGGCCGCTCACCCGCACAGCTTAGAGGGAACACCGATCCAGACCCCCAGGAGTAAAATTTGGGGGAAGGGGTTCAGTGGGCTCCAGTGTGGGGGTTTGATTGGCAGAAACTGGCACCACCTAAGAAAACTTAAGTGCCCTTAAATCTCTGGACCTGGGCAGCTGGAATGAAGCATACGGCTTCCAGATTTGGGAGTTTCTGCTACGAACACAGGTGCATCCTGCCCACAGCTCCTCTTCACTGGGCAACAGGTACAAGAGTAAAGCACTTACTTTGCCTCTGTGGGACAGGAAGCCAGAAAGGTGAGCCGGGTTGGTTCCGAGCAGGGGGAAACAACAGCTGCCTGCTCAGGAACAGCCGGCATTTCAGGAGCATTTCAACACCCGTTGCTCTGCCCGGACAGCAAAATAAGATGTCGAAAGGATACAGGTCTTGCAGTAAGGAAGATCCAACCATCCTGGAATATGGACACATGAAGCTGCTGTATACGGAATCAGATGCTTGGTCCACCGAAGTCAGTATTGCTTACTCAGACTGGCAGCCGCTCTCCAGGGTCTCACGCAGAGGGAGGGAAAGTCAAACACCCAACACGGAGACGTTCAATGAGTCACTTTTATTTTACATTTTAAAAAAAAATTACAACAGAACAAGGGATCCAAAAGCCAAGAAACTCCACTTTCATACACGCCACTCACACATATGCACACACACGCCTGCTAAGTCACGTACAGGTTTTGGCTGCTTCCAAAGGGATCTGCTGAATTCCAGCAGTGTAGCTTGTCAAACAGGAGCACAGACAGACAATCGGGGCAGCGGCAATCAATTCCCAAAGGAGACGGAGATGCCCAACGGAAAAGGCTCGAGAGTTTTGTAACTTTCATCACCCTTCTTTATATAAATCCGGCGATGTCTCCTTCGTCCGCTCACGACGCCTGTTTAGGAGTTCCTCCGATAATATGTGCACAGACTTCATTAAAAAAAAATTAGCAAATACATAAGGGGGAAAAAAAACACCTGAAAAACTGCAGTAGTTTTGCTCGTGGGCTGAGAGGGGACTGAGAAGATCCACTTAGGCATCGCTCGCATGGAGCTATTTTTAAAAAAAACCAAGTCTCTTGAGGCGCGCGCCGTCCGCATAAGGTGACCGGCTTCCAGCTTGCTGGGAAAGACCGCCTAAGTTGCTTTACTGGCAAGCGTATCTGTGACCTGGTTCAACCTCTTTGCGCAATGGAATTATGAGTGGGAAACACTCCCCTGCACCGCGTACATTATAGAGGTGGGAAGAACTGCATAAACCGGTCCACACAGGCTTGTGTGAAGGGCGCCTGCCCTGTACACTGCATGATGTGCGTAGGGGGAAGGGAGGAATACATGCCCATACCTATACTGCGCAAAGCAGACTGACAGCCAGATATGCAGCATGAATCAGGCTCCTGCCTCACTCTGGAACTGTTTGGTCTCCTCTCCCTGTAACATTCTGCACCCTTCAGGTTTAATGCTGATGTGCCAACGGGGGAGGGATCAGGAAGCCCCCACGGGGAAACCACTCCCACCCCCTGATATGAGACCCGATTCAAGTCAACCGCACACCAAGACGCTACAGGGTACGACGACGGGTAAATAAGCCACGAGGAATTCACCGTTAATAATTGCAGGTGAACCGACAGCTTATGGGCTGGAATCCAAACGACGTGCATGCACGGGAAGGGGGTGGCTGCAGAAGAGACTGCGGAAGAGACAAGCCATCTGGCAGAAAAAGGCTCGTCTCATCAGCGGTAAGAAGCGCTGGTGCCAAAAAGTGGTAAATGGTGCTTCAGCAATGCATGGGGTGCTGAACACACACACAGACAGATGTGCACATGAACATCTTTTTTTGGACTCCAGCCATGGGATAGAAGATCCCCCAGCACTGAAGCACTGTGGTACCACCGGCAAAGCAAAAGCTCAACCATGATAGTTTTAAGGCAAGTTTTATAACAGGAAGTTCTTGTTTGTTTCTTTCCTCCCCTTCCGGACACACGCACTCCAGTTTTGAACCCAGTCCTCCCATTCCAGTCCTTGGCTGGCAAGTCATTCAAAGAACAGCGGGAGAAAAAAGACCAATGTAGTACTCTTATTCAACATACCCCCCCCCCTGTTCTTCACTAATTTAAGAACACATTCAAACGTTGTGCCTTTTTTCATCTCTACAAAGGGCAGCCAATGTTGTTTATATTTATTTATGCAACTCACTGCTCCACCTTGGAAGCACTACTGCTGGTACTCTTTTTTTTTTTTGCAGTGTGTGTGTGGAGGGTTCCAAAATCCTCAAAATACACTATTTCTGACCCCTACCGGTCGGGTTAGCTTTGCACACCTCATTTCTAAAGATGCCTTCTCGCTGGTGTTCCCTCTAAGCTGAGTTAGTGTGAGCTAGCTCACGTTTTTTTAGCCTCCGGCTCACACATTTTTCTTAGCTCAGGAAGGGTGGCTCCGGAGCAAGCTAATTTATGCAGTAGCCAAATCGTTCGCTCACAACTTTAAGGCCAGGAGCTCACAAAGTAGAATTTTTGCTCCCAAGACTCCACAGCTTAGAGGGAGCACTGCTTCCCGCGCCTCTCTTAGTGATAACGCTAATGCTAAGCGAATGCAGCGATACTGCTACACAACGTCGCCCAGGTGGCACTGTGCCATGAAGATCACACAAAACGTCACGATTCTAAACACACTGCCAGCTGAGTCCCTAATCACCCCTTTGGCATGTGTGGGGGCTACAACGTACACCAGGTGTGCTCACATGTGCTAGAGCAGCCTCAATAAACAGGGAAGTACCACACGCAAATCCCTTTGCACGTGCAGAGGTGTTGCCACAGCTACTGAAGGGAACACAAAAGCTTGTGCATGCATGGGCTGGGTGTGCGCATAGAGCCGTGCACCTGCAAAGCTTAGAACTGGATCCACAAGGCGAGCGATTAAGACCCACCAGATCCAGACTGGTTCATTTCTAAATAGCACGTCAGACTCTCGGCAGAGGCCAACTTGTTAAGAAGACGTCCCACCTCAGCTTATTTTATTCTGTGGGTCCTGCTGGGCAACGGAAATCCTCAACCTACTTATTTTGCCTGGAATGGTAACCTCACCAGCACCAGCCCTGAAGCGTGGGGCAGTTCTGACGACATGCACCAGACGGATCTGTGTGTGTGTGTGTGGGGGGGGGAAATGCATTAACCAAACCGGAGGTGGTCGGCTGCGTCGAGAGCCTTCTAACCTGCAAGACGTTCGCTTCACAAGGAGCTTCTGGCTCCAGCTGCCCTGCACTTGATTGGCAAGTTGACGAGGCCCTCCTTCGATACATCTAAGAGGCAGACACTGAGAGATGTGAAGGCCCGGAAAAAAACTGGAAAAATTCGGGAAAAAAACGTTTTTTCCCCGAACCTTTTTTGTTTTTTCCCGAAAAATTGGAAAAATTGAAAAAAGAAAAGAAAAGAAAAAAAAATTGATTATGGAACGTTTTGTTTTAACATGATGGATAAAATATTTTAAGACAAGGTGTTCAAATATTTTCCAAATCATTTCTAATATATATATATATATGGTATCAGAGTGATCTAATTTCTGTGCACTGAGGACAAGCAAGTCCTAGGTTACAAACTGAACTCTCCAATGCAAGAACAAGATGCATTTCTTCCTTTAGGAGGTGCGATTGTCACGAGAAAAGAAAAAGGTTTCAGTTTTGTTTTTGCATGTGGGCGGGTATTCTGTTTGTAATAACTGTTTGGATACACTCTATTTTTAATATGGTAGTTGTGATGATTTCATGCCAAGTAAAAATGTCCGTAGTCATATTTTATGTTCCTAAAGTAACAGAATGACTTTCAACCTGGAAAAGACAAAAGAAGTGCTAATGTAGCATTTTTTTCCAATTTTTCCGAAAATTTCCGCTTTCCCCCGGAAAAAAAACGGGTTTTTTCCTGAGCTTCAAAATTTCCGGAAATTTTACATCTCTACGAGTTCCCCTTAAATGATCAGAATGTGAAAAGGGGCGCTAATGTTTAAGGGTGGAAGACACAACGAGGCTACGGCACATTTAAGCATTTGATATTGAATCCCCCCAAAGGATTCAGCCCGCTATGAGCCTAGGGAAATCCGGGGGTGCTTGTCACCCCCTTAGGCAGTCTGGCAATGCAGTTGTGGATCACGGGCCTTTGGGAGGTGTTCACGTAACAGAAACACAGCTCGTTGGACTCAAAAGGCAGGACAGAAAAGTTACATTACGGGACTGAGCTCTGCCTCGAAACCATGGGGGATGAAGAGTTGCACTTGGCGAGTGGTTTCCGGCATCTGTACCTTATGCAGCACGATTGACAACTTCACCTCAGCACACAAGTCTTATAAAAACAGCGGAGGTACACTCTTAAAAAAAGACGTATCAAATAAAAGGGGCTTGACAAAAAGAAAAAGAAAAGCGTAATCAGTCCGGTAAAATAATAAGTTACAGTAGTTAAGATGGTATTTTGGCTTCTTCAGGGGTGACTGTCCAGCTTTCTCGGGGTTTCTGTTTTTCGCTTCCTGCTCAAAGCCACGCGGCGGAGCATCTGTGGCCGACGCTTCCGAGAGTTAATGAGATGTCGGTGACTATAAACGTATAAAATTCTGCTTGCTACAAGCAAAATGTCTCACTTGTGTCAACCTCCATTGGTCACAGGTTCAAAGAGGGCAGCCTGCTCTCCTGGCCCCAAATAAATACTATATACTACTCTTTTTGTGGGTGTGTGGGTGTCCGTTCCGGCGTGGTTTCCCGGGCGGGCTCAGACAGAGAACTCTGGACCTCCCTTCTTGGCCCTCAGCATCAGCCGCTTGATCCGGAATCCCGCAAAAGGGTTGATCCACAGCAGGGAAGGCTGGCCCCCGAAGACGGACTTCATCCCTTCCCAGCGTAACCTCCGCTCCCAGGTGGGCTTTTCGCTCTTCAGCCTCTCGATCTCCTGCAAATGTACATACACATATCTTTAAAAAGATGAGTTAGGGCAGTGGTGGCGAACCTATGGCACGGGTGCCAGAGGTGGCACTCGGAGCCCTCTCTGCGGGCACGCGTGCCATCGCCCCAGCCAGGCCCAGACCATCATTAAAGTGTCTAAATCTCTGCCAAATAATGTTAAGTAAATGAAAGCATTTGGGATTGCTTTCCTTACTTTGTTTGGATCATCTTAAGTTACTGTATGAGTTGTTTTTTCTAAAGTAAAACCTCAGTATTCAGGTTAAATTGCCATGTTGGCACTTTGCGATCAATAAGTGGGTTCTGGGTCACAGTTTGGGCACTCGGCCTCTAAAAGGTTTGCCATCACTGAGTTAGGGAGTTCAGAGACTGGACTGGGCTCTAGTCCAACATGTACAGGGTGTATGTGTGCTGGGGAGGGGGAGCACTGGAGATGGGCATGGGGGGGGAGGAGATTGGATTTCCACCCTGCCCTTCACTCAGAGTCTCAGAGCGGCTTACAGACTCCTTTCCCTTCCCCTCCCCAAAACAGACACCCTGTGAGGCAGGTGGGGCTGAGAGAGCTCTTCCAAGAACTGCTCTCGAGAGAACAGCTGTGCCAGAACTATGGCTTGCCCAAGGTCATCCAGCAGCTGCGAGGGGAGGAGTGGGGGACTCAAACCCAGTTCTCCCAGGTTGGAGTCCTCACACTTAACCACTACACAAAACTGGCTCTCATAAGTAAGTTGCCGGATGGACCCAAGACCTGGGACCCACACATTTGAAGGACCACCTCCTCCCATATGTCCCAGTGCACCCGCTATGGTCATCACACAGCCGTCTGTTGGCTCTCTCGCTACTTAGGATGGCCTGTTTGCCATCGACCAGAGCCTGGGCCTTTCCATGGTGGATCGATATCTGAGGAAGGGTCTTCTTGAACAGATTGGGGGGGGGACTTCCTGGGAGATCTGCAGGAGGCACTGCAAGGCCAGGGGGTTTGAAGGGCAGGCATCTCTTAAGGGGGGGGGAGGGATTTGGGGTTTACTATTTTATTTTTCATTTTAACTGAAAATGTTTCGAACGGTTATTGTCAGCCATTGCAAACCATGAGGATCGGTGGGATAGAAACATTTTAACAGGAGGAGGAGGAGAAGAGTTGGTTTTTAATATCCCACTTTTCTCACACCTGGGAGAACCGGGTTCGATTCCCCACTCCTCCACTTGCAGCAGCTGGATGACCTTGGGCAAGCCACTGTTCTTACGGAGCTGTTCTCTCAAGGACAGCTCTGGAAAGAGCTCCCTCAGCCCTGCCTACCTCACAGGGTGTCTGTGGTGGGGAGGGGAAGGGAAAGGAGTTTGTAAGCCGCTCTGAGACTCTGAGTGAAGGATGGGGTATAAATCCAATCTCTTCTTCTACCTTAGGTAAAGGTAAAGGTTTCCCTTGCTCGAAAGCCAGTCGAGTCCAACTCGAGGGTTGCGGTGCTCATCTCCGTTTCAAAGCCGAAGAGCCAGCACTGTCCGAAGACTTTTCCGTTGTCATGTGGCCGGCATGACTACATACCAAGGCGCACGGAACGCTGTTACCTTCCCACCGAAGTGGTACCTATGTGGCAGGAGCTGGAACCAGAGACGGGAGCTCACTCCGTCATGCGGCACACTTGGGTCTCGAACTGCTGAACTACCGACCTTCCACAGCCTGCAGTTCAGCGTCTTAACCACTTGAGCCACTGCAGCTCCTCTTCTACCTTAAGGAGTCTTAAAGTGGCTCTCAATAACCTTTCCCTTCCTCTCCCCACAACAGGCACCCTGTAAGGTAAGCGGGGCTGAGAAAGCTCTGAGAGAACAATGACTGGCCCAAGGCCACCCAGCTGACTCAATGTGGAGGAGGAGTGGGGAATCAGACTCGGCTTACCAGATTACAGTCCGCTGCTCTTGACCACTACACCACACTGGCTAATAAATAAACCAAGGGCTCCATCCAGACCTCACGAATAAACCAGGATCCATTTGTCACAAGCGTGAACCTGGCCGGCTGCTGTGTTTGTGTGCTTCCTCCTCATTTGATGCCTGCCTACTAGCTTCAGTTTGTAAGGGAAATCACAACAGAACCGAAGCTCGAAGCCCAATGCCGGGCACAGCGTTCGGGTCTTACCGTTTCGTCGTTGCATATCGAGTGGATCTGGGTGCCGAACATCACCGCGGTGAACGTAAGAAACAGAAAACCCTCAAGGCACAAGAAAACCAGCAGGATCACAGTCACGGGTGGGGAAAAGTCACTACACTCTGGGGAGGGGGGAAAAATCAAAACATGTTGCAGGAACCACACCGTGAAAAGGACGTGGAAAATCCTAGAATTTAGGGACAGTCTGCATTTTATTTATTTAAGAAGCTTCCAACTCTCCTTTCTCTAGTGGCAGGCTCAAGGCAGCTCAAGTCTAAAACATTACCCCAAACCATAAAAACACCTATATCAAAACCACCAATAAATATTACAGCATAGAAACACCAGAAGAGCCCAGCTGGATCAGACCAATAGTCCACCTAGCCCAGCATCCTGTCTCACACAGTGGCCAGCCAGGTCCTCTGGATGGCCCACAACAGGGCATAGCCTCCTGGCTCTGAGATTCAGAGGCTCAGTGCCTCTGAATGTGGAGGTTCCCCTCAGTCACCATGGCTAGCATCCACTGATAGACTTATGCTCCATGAAGCTATCTAATCTCCTTTTCAAGCTGTTTATTCCTGTGGCCATCACAACATCCTCTGGTGGCAGCGAATCCCATATTTGAATCACTCTCTGTGTATTTCCTTTTGTCTGTCCTGAACCTACTGCTCCTCAGCTTCATCGGGTTCTAGTATTTTGGAAGCACGCAGCTTCCAAGAAACTTAGCCATCGACTGGAAAGAGAGAGAGAGAGGAAAAACCCCCATAATCAATTTTGCTTCACACAGCCTTCACAGATGCTTTTATGACATGCTCTGGAAGGTCATTCCATAATGTGGGAGCCACCACGGAAAAGGCCCGCAAATAGGCAACAGCTGTTTTAACATGCCTAGAGGAGGGACTGGTGTGGCAATCTTGGTCGGAGGTGCAAAGCGGCTGCACAGAGGGACAGGTGCCCTGCAAGTGAGCGGGCCCCCTGGGCATGAGAGAATTTGAAGGTAAAGAGGTAGAACCTTGAACTGAAACTCTTATGTGGGCACCATTTGCTTGGTGGCGGTGGTGCTTTTCTAGCTTACATCATTTGCATGCAAAGTCCACAGCAAGCACCGTATTTTATTCTGGGGAGGGAATCAAAGTAGGGTGGGGTATAAATTGAATCAAACAAATAAATAAATAAATCCCTGGGACTGCAAATTATCTTGGGAATAACTTCATATATTTTTGAAGTCTTGCTTAACCGTTTGTTTATTTGTCTTTTCTAGGGAAGAGACAGCATGAAATTACTTGTCTGGGGACAAGTCTTTTGAGAAAGGGAGATAATGTAATTGGCTTGGCCTCTGGTCACTCGTCTATCCCGACAAGATTAAAATGTGGAATTCGCTGCCAGAGAATGTAGTGATGATGGCCACAGGAATACACAGCTTTAAAAGGGGATTTGACAGATTCATGGAAGATGAGTATCAATGGCTACCAGCCATGGTGACTGAGGGGAACCTCAACGTTCAGAGGCACCAAGCCTCTGAATCCCAGAGCCAGAAGGCAACATCAGGGGAAGGCCTCGGCCTCTGATGGAGAGTTCGTGAGCCCTTGAAATCCAGCACAATGAGCTGCTGTGCTATTTTGGTGGTCTTAACTAATGGCTATTGCTTTCAGTGTTTGATCATGAAGCATGAAGAAGCTTGGTCTTGCACAAGACATCTTCTTTGTAAAAAAAAAAAGTTTATTACGTTTTCAAATACTCTTCTTCCATTCTCTCAAATAATTTTTTTTAAAAATCCCAGGGTGGCTTAAGGGACGTTACAATTACACTAAGGGAACACAAAACCTCTTGGCGGCAACAAAAACATTTCTGAAAGGAACATGAGAGCAACTCCTAATCTATTGGATACTTTGTTTTGTTATTACTGAGCTTAAGGAGACATGATTATCACTGTTTTAAGTGGGCTTTTAGGATTTTGCAGGTTTTATTGCAGTTTCCCACTTGTTTGTACAGATTCATGCTGCTGTTATGGTTTTCAGCGCTTTTTGCACTATAAGCCCCTCTGGAAACCTAGGTCTGGTCTGAAAGCCCTGGACTCAGTTCACTCTTCCTTATGTAGGCATTAGCCCTTCCACTCAATGGCTCAGGGTTCTCGATCAGAGGCCCTTCTGCAAAAGCAAACTCCATATAATTTTTGTAAATAAACAAAACAGACGCACTCCAAGCGCAGACTTACCAGTCCACTGTCCTTTGACACAGGAGAAGAACTGAAACCCGCACAGGATGAGAGCATGAGCGGATATTAGAGCTATGTACATCTGGAAGCAAGAGAAACAGTTCACTGGTCAGTGTTAAGAGGCGGGGCAATGTCACAGGCAGAGAAATGAGAAGCATCGCTCCCTGATCCTTCATATATGTCACACAGCCAGAATCCCCAAAGACACCTGAAGTGTTTATAAGGGCCTGAATGCACCTAGTGGGCTATTTGATTTTTTAATATCTTTTCCAGCAGCTGACCGCTGTCCCAGGGCTCAGGGTGGGTAACATCATTATAATAAATAAATAAATAAATGAGCCAGTTTGGTGTAGTGGTCAGGAGTGCGGCCTCTAATCTGGGAGAACCGTGTTTGATTCCCCACGCCTCCATATACAGCTGCTGGTGTGACCTTGGGTCAGTCACAAGTTCTCTCAGAGCTGTTCTCTCAAGGGCAGTTCTTCGGAGAGCTCTCTCAGCCCCGCCTACCTCACAGGGTGTCTGTTGTGGGGAGGGGGAGGGAAAGGAGTTTGTAAGCCACTCTGAGACTCCCTTGGGTAGTGAAGGGCGGGGTATTAATCCAATCTCTTCTCTTCTCTTCTACAATTTCAGTTTAAAACACTGTAAAACATATTGCAAAGCGCATTTAGGAAATCTGCTCAGTTCTGTAAGAGGGCAAGAGCAGGCCTGCTGGAACAGGTAGTCCAGCCTGCTATTTCCAACTATGCCTAACCAGTAGAAAAGAGCAAGCGTCCAGTAGCACCTGAAAGACTAACAAAATTTCTGGCAGGGTATGAGCGTTCGTGAGTCACTTCGAAGTGAGCAGCGACTCACAAAAGCTCATTCTGTGCCACAAATTTTGCTAGTCTTTGAGGTGCTAGTGGACTCTTGCTCTTTTCTACTGCTACAGACGGACTAACACGGCTACCCATCTTGATCTATGCCTAACCAGATGCTTCTGGGAAGTCTATAAGCAATGGCCAAAAAACAGCAAATAACAACTGTGTACTGAACAAACCCGCACCAAAGAGGTTTGCTTTAGAAAGCACCTACCAAGGTTGCTTGGTCCAACTTACATAATAGCAACCGTGCTTTCTAAAGCTTAGGAGACCTGGCCCATATAGAAACTGAATAAAGTTTGCCTGTTAAGAAATTGCAATGAGACTTCCTGTAGTGGCTTTTTTGTTCCTGAGGAAGGACCAGAAGTCCGAAACACTGAACAATACCTAGGAAAAGTGTTGATATCAATTCCAGACTTCATTGTTTCCCTTTGAGAAATTTCTATTCTGGACTTTGTTCTTTCCCTTTGGGATATGGTGGACTTTTGTATTTTCCTATGATGGATTACATGTGTTGAATTACCTTTGTGTTGAGGTCTCTTTTTGTTAACTTTGGTGCGGGTTTGTGCAGTACACCGTTGCTGTTTGCTGTTTTTTGGCCACTGTTTACTGTGGACTGTATTATGGTTGTTGTTAAGTCTGCAAGCAAGTCATGAAATGTCTTTTCCTGTTGCTTGCCCAGCAACGGGCATCAGAGGTATACTCCCTCTGAGCCTGGAAGGCCCATAAGCATTCATATGTAAGAGACATTGACAGACCTATCCCCCCCCCTTGTCCTTTAAGCAGAACACATCCCTTTGTCCAAAGGGATGGGTGTAGCTTCTTCTGGCTTCATGAAGTTCGGATAGTCTTTATACTGCCAGTTCAGTTCAGTTCAGTTCATTCTTCTTGGTTGTCAATACAGTTTGTGGGTTCCTTAACTCACAGTCCCACTCTGCTGGGTTGTTGTTCTTCTCTAAGTGATGTCCTCTTTTAGATTGATGTCATCTCTGGAATGTCTACAATCAGCTGGGCTGGGGTCCTCTCGGGGATGTCCAAAAACAGATGGGCCTGGTCATCTTGGGGATGTCCAAAAACAATTGAGCTGGGTCCATCTTCCTCTCTGTGATGTTGCACAGTGGATCTGAATTCATCTCAGCTTTGGTCTTACATCTCGAAGGAGCATCAGCTATCACACTATGCTTGTTTGTTTCTTTAGCCAAAAATTCCTTCTCTCCTATGACTCTTTTAAGTTGCTCTTGGATGGAGGAAAGTTGGTTTGTCCTACAAGCAAGCTCATTTTCTACCCTGCCCACAGAAATCAAAAGCTTTTGGACCACCAAACCAAACAGATCTTGGCCACCCTGCTTCACGGTCTCTTAATCCACTGGCCTTTGCGACCCAGTCATTTTTGCTGCGTCAACTGTCTCTCCCCACATCCTCGCACCCAAGTATATAAATGATGAATGAGAGATTTACTGCAATTTGTAACCTGACACCAAAGAGGAGCAAGGCTGTGGTTATGCTCAGTTCTCTACCGAAATGATGGTGCCAGTTTTATCCCTGACATCGGCTTAGCTAGAGGTGCTTTTCGGTCTGGAATAAATAACCCCCTACTCACGGTAAACACCACAAAGAACCTCTGGTTTCTCTCCCCAACGCAGTTGTTGACCCAAGGGCAGTGATGGTCCATCTTCCGAATGCATCGCTTGCAAATACTAGTGGGGAAGAGAGACAGAGAGAAGAAGTTATGCTACGTGCTCTGCATGTTTTTGCCCTTGGTGGCAGGGGAAAGAAGGGGCATCTGTCTGAAGGTCAAGGCTACTGCCATGCGTGGTACACATTTATTTTCTTATTAAAAATGTTTATAATCCAAACAGTCAAGACATGTGTCTTCCCAAAGCAGAACAGGGAAGGAAAGCAGATTTGGAAACTATGGCACACCTTGGGTCGATTCGGAACACCAAAGCAACCGCTCGAACGTTACTTCTGAAAATTAATGTATGCAGCGGATGGCCCAGCGAAATTGCAGGATGTGAGAAAACAAGTTTCCAGGGGGTAAATGTGAATAGCTATATATACTGCTTTCTCTTGACGACCATAAGGCTTCAGGAAGGAAGGCAGGTTTCAGACGGTGGTCCTGGGGGGACTGTTGCTCAGCTCCTGGGCCCCTGGCCGTGGGGTCCCGCAAGGTTGCATTCTGCCCCCAAGGTTTTTAACACGTACATGAAACTGCTGGGAATGGCTGTCTGGAGGTTTCAGCTGGGCTGTCACCGATATGCAGACGATACTCAACTTTACATTGCGCTTCCAAGCAAATCCCAGGATGAAGCTGTGGACCGTTGCTGAAGGCATTTTTGGGATGGATGCAGGCTAATGAATTAAAACTGAACCCCAAACAAAATGGGGGTGCTACTGGTGGGGGAAGGTCTGACCCGGGAATGGTCAATACAATCCAAGCACGGTTTTTCTTTTCATACCCCACAGCAAGAGGCCTGCTTTTGCGTTCCTTGGGGGGTTGTGCCCGCTAAGCTTATTCCATGGTTTTTATCAGGGCTATTTTTGGGCAGGAACGCACAGGAATGGAGTTCCGGCTGGCTTCCGAGTTGGCCACGCCCAGCAGGAACTCATTAGCATAATAGACCACACCCAACAGCAGAAACTCATTAGGATTGGCTAGAGTGGTGTATGGCCTAACATGCAAAGGAGTTCCTGCTACAAAAAAAGGCCCTGGGTTTTGACAACAAACAAGGTAAACAGAATAAGAAGCGAAAGGTGGGTGTGGCTGGATGACCACACTTCTGGTAACATGGGGGTGCAGCCTAATAAGCTAATGAGCTGTGCCGTCAGGGGTGTGGCCTAATATGCTAATAAGTTTCTGATGTTGGGTGTGGCCTATTATGCTAACAAGTTAAACACAGGGAGGCTGCCTTATATTAAATCAGACAGCCTAGCCTAGAACTGTCTACACTGACTGGCAAAAAGTCTCCAGAGGTTCTCCGGGGGACTAAACCTGGGATCCTCTGCATACCAGGCACATGCTTTATCACTGAAACTTTGGCCAACGCGGAAGAATCCACAGTGGGCAAAACGCTCTTGGGAAGATGCACGGATCCTCCAGCTCCCAGTGCATAACTTCTGGCCATAACTTCTGGCACAATGCTGCCTCTGTAGTCAGAACCCTGACCTTCCCATTTGCCTCGGAATGTAGAAGTCTGCCTTACACTGGGTCAGAACACAGGTACACCCAGGGCTATTTTTGGGCAGGAAAGCACAGGAACGGAGTTCCGGCTGGCTCCCAAGTTGACCACGCCCAGCAGGAACTCATTAGCATAATAGGCCACACCCAACAGCAGAAACTCATTAGGATTGGCTACATTAGGGGTGTGTGGCCTAACATGCAAAGGAGTTCCTGCTACAAAAAAGCCCTGGGTTTTGACAACAAACAAGGTAAACAGAATAAGAAGCAAAAGGTGGGTGTGGCTGGATAACCACACTTCTGGTAACATGGGGTAATAAGCTGTGCTGTCAGGGGTGTGGCCTAATATGCTAATGAGTTCCTGCTGGGCCTTTTCTACAAAAAGAGCCCTGGGTACACCTAAGCCCAGCACTGTCTCCTCCTCCAACCGGCAGTGGCTCTCAGGCACAAGCAGATCCTGACACCCTTTGGGCTGGATCCGGACCAAAATCCCCATCTGTGGAACGAACTGTCCTGCCCTCCCCACGACAGCCCACTGATCGATCTCCAGGCAGTGGGACCGAGGTATCGGAAAGTTCGTCTTCTCCCATGTATTCCTGCCCAGGATTTAAGATCATGACTGTCCCATCAATCAAAGAGGCGTGCCTGATGGGTGCGTGAGGGGGAGGGCCTTTTCAGTGGCAGCCCCACAATTCTGAAACATCTTCCTCAGGGAGGCGCCACCGGCCCCCTCAATTTCAGTCTCTAGGGCGGAAGTTGCAAACAAGGCTCTCTCGAAGCTGTGGGGGTCTCGTGAGCAAAAATCCTGCTTTGTGCGCTACTGGCATTAAAGTTGTGAGTGAGCGATTTGGCTATGGCATAAATCAGTTTGCTCTGGAGCAGTGTTCCCTCTAAGCTGAGATAGTGTGAGCTAGCTCGCAGTTTTTAGCCTCCAGCTCACACATTTTTGTCTTAGCTCAGGAAGGAGGGCTCCAGAGCAAACTAATTTATGTAGCAGCCAAATCACTCGCTCACAACTTTAATGCCAGTAGCTCACAAAGTAGAATTTTTGCTCTGGAGCCATCCTTCCTGAGCTAAGACAAAAATGTGTGAGCCGGAGGCTAAAAACCTGTGAGCTAATTCACACTAACTCAGCTTAGAGGGAGCAGTGGTTGCAAACTGTTTTATTTATTTAGGCTTGTCTTTGGCTAAGTACCCTAGCAGTCAAGAGCTGTGATTTTAAATCTTGGCTTTTATGTTTTTAATATATTTTGCGTGTGTTTTACCTATGTTGCAAGTTGCCTTGAGCTCCGTAATGGAAGGAAGGTGACTAATTAATGTTTTAAATAAATAAAAATAAAAAAAATGCTGCTCACAGGGGATGGGCCCCCTGAAGAATGACATAAGGGAGGGGTGGTCTCCAGCGGGAAGAGAGAGTCGGTGGGACATGGCAGTTCAGTCTGGATCCAGGCCTTTGACTGGGCCTGAGCTCAGGACCTTCTGCACAAACACCAGATGCTCCTTGTGAGGCAAAGCACCCCTGGCCTCCCCCCTCAAGGGTTAATGCGAACAGTCAGATCTGGTCCATCCAGCAAGTGTTACTAATTGGTCTCCTGGCCCACACAGCTCTTATCATCTTCAAGGCCAAAGATGGACGGGTGGGAATTAGCTTCTCATGAGAACCTGCGGTACGTATGAGGGGAGGGAGCGAACCAGGGGTGATGAGGTAATCTTCCAGAAGCTTCTCCTGAAAATGCATCCTGACTGGATGTCGTCATCACCTGATGCGCTGGGTCCAAACACTATAATTCAGCTAAGGCCCTGAAGAAGAGAGACTAGCTGGGGTTTTGATGGACTAAAGGCCTGAACTGGAGCTGCAATTGCTAGCAACGGAGCTTTGGCCTTTGACGGAGCTTTGGCCTTTGACTCTTGAAATTAAGGTTTGTGACTTTGAACGATGAGTCCTGAAAAGTGTTAGATAGTTACACTAGTTGTCTTGCAGTATGATTTTAGAGTAACTTGTTGGCTACAGACAGGGGCCATTTCCTGTGGGAGCGCACAGGAGCGGAGCTCCGGCAGTAAGGAGCCCAGGGGGCGGGTACATGCAACAAGCCCCGCCCCCTGCTCCCAGCAGTCCTCAGTCGGGCCACGAGGAGCAAAAACAGCCAGGTAAGTTGCAGAGCCCCCCACCCCCGGCCCACCTTCAGGTACAAGCTCTTCCTCCTCTGTGAGGGCACATCTGCGCATTCCCCCCCCCCCTTAATAGCTAGCAATCCAAAACAGTCCAGTGGCGCCTGAGCGGTGGGTGTTGCCTTCTGACACACTTCCGATGATGTCAGGGGGTGTGGCATATGCAAATAAGTTATGCTAATAAGTTATGCTAATGAGTTCCTGCACCTCTTTTTCTATGAAATGACCCCTGGTAGAAACTGAAATAAACTTTGTTAAGTCTTTTCTAAAAATTAAACAACGGCCTGATCGCTCGTGTATAACCGCCCTGGGGAGCCACGGGGTTCAGCCCTGGACTCCTTGACACTCCTCTTGGTCACAAGGCCAAGCGAAACTGAATCTGGGCATTGTGACTGCAGAGGAGCTCCCCTTCGGCTTCCCAAAGGATAAAGAGCTTTGCCGTCCCCAGGCCTCCGCTAGCTTTCTCCGCATTCATCTCTGAGTCTCTGAATTTGAAAGGAGAGGGGGGAAGGAGGGGGGGGCTAGGCCAATCTGACGCAGCAGCAGCAGCTGCCCTCCCAATGCAGGCTCCTCGGGAAACAGCCTTTCAGGATCGTGCCCAGCTTCTGCAGACAAAAATAAAGGAAACCACTTGAATTGCAATGGCCTTATCTTTCATTCTGGCGCAGGCGGGCAAGGAGCAGCAGGCAGGCCAAACCGCTGAGAGGGCAGACAAAATAAATGCTTACTTCGGGGGCCGCGTCTTCGAGAACGGACCAGATGCTTCCTGAGTTTTTAAAAGCCCCTCTGGGCTCGAAAAGCAGCCGCCGTCCGTACCTGCAGTGGTGGGCACGCTCCGGCTTGATGCTGCAGCACTTGGGGCATTTGTAGATCACCTCGCCGGGCTTCAGCTGCAAACTCTCCATGTACTCTTTTGTGGCGTTTCCTTTGGGAACGGCCCCCTAAGGCACATCCAGAGGGAAGAAAGACAGCGTCTCAACAGGGTTGCACGGGACAAAATGATTTACAAAGTAATCTGGATAAATGAGTAGGGGCTGTGGCCTGTACTACTGCACGTAGCTTGCTACAAGTAGGATCCCGCTGCATAATTGTTGTACTGTTTACTGAGTCATGTTAGTACTTACATTTCTTTTAAAAAGGGACAGACCATTCGTACGCTTTGCTTTGATCATTTTTTATAAAGATTTCTGGCTGGTTCCAGACTTCTACAGTCTCAATCCTATTTCACTGTTGATTGTACTGACTCACTTCATGTAATCCGCCCTGAGCCCCAGTGAGAAAGGTGGAGTATAAATAACAGAAATAAATAAGTAAAAATACTCATTTATGGCCCCGGTCACACGGGCCGGATATCGGAGGCGTGGCTGTATGCCCCGCAGCGAAATAACGTGCGACTGCGCAATCAGGCGTCCCCTCGCGGTCCCGTCGAGGTCCCGTGGTTAGGAGGGAGGTGCTGATCACACGACGCGCCAAAAAAGCGGCACGGCAAACGGGGTTGTGTGGGGTTTTTTTAACCTGAAGTATGAGCATGCCCCATTGGGTGCTTGTGCGCATCCCTGGAGACTTTGGGGGGAAAAAACCTTTTCGCAATGGGGCATGGGCGGGCGCCGGATGCCACCGAAAACGGGATCAGACGCCCGCCCTTGCCCCGCAGTTTCCGGAAACTAGTACCTCCGAGGTACTAGTTTTTTACCACGCGTCTTTGGCGGGAAGCCTCGGGTGAGCCATGGGAGCTCTACGCTTCCCAGATGTGGCGGTGAGATCGTGCCTGGAAAATCCACCTGTCTTCCGTCCCTCTAGCGTGGCTAATGCTCCGTGTGACCGGGGCCTATGTAGTGCCATCAACATACTGGACCCTTTGTGGAGTGAGCAAAAGGGGCAGGTGGGTGTATTGGGGAGTGAACTATCCATAACGGGGGGGGGGGAGGGGCCGGGGGGGGGGGCCGGTGGAATGGTGGGGAGCTTACCTGCTCCTGCTGCTTCCTCCTCTGCCTGATCAGTGTGGAGCCCCCCCCCCGTGGGCATCGCGGGGGCCGCCGCTTGTTCTCAGGGCGGCTAACAATGGAAGCTGTGAGCGAGCGATTTGGCTACTGCATAAATTAGTTTGCACTGGAGCCCCATCCTTCCTGAGCTAAGACACAAACGCATGAGCCGGAGGCTAAAGATCTGTGAGCTAACTCACAATAACTCAGCTTAGAGGGAACACTGGGTGGGAGAAAAAATTTTCTCTGTTGCATGATCATAAAGCAAAGACTAGGTGGTTGGCACAGAAACGGTATATTTGTTGGATATTGTAACTCTGCACGCAAGAGGATCTGGGAGGAAAAGGGTTAAGAGAGTTCTCTCATTGGGGTACACTTGGCAGTTGGCCCCGCCCTCTCGTGGCCCCGCCCTCTCGTGGGTTAGATGTTGAATCTCTTTGGCCCTTGATTGCCTTCCGTTTCATCTTCTTCTCTCTCTTACCCGGCCTTGGAGCTATAGCAGGTTAACCTTTCTGAAATCAATCCGTTCACAGTACGTTAAAGGCACCTACATGAATAAGTCATGTTAAGATGTGCTTCTATTTTTGTAAGTAAAGTTTCTTTCTCTTGTTACCACTGGAGTTAGACCATCTTTGTAATTTGTTTGAGCAGCATTTCCCCTTTAACCCAGAAACGTGGAGGACTGAAGCTTCTCTGCTTCCAAGCCAATTGGTTTTGTTTTTGTTTTTAGCATTTAACCCAATAACATTAGAAGGGAGAAATGGAGTAGCACATTAAGGGTCAAGAAGTCATTCACAAGCATAAAAATCAGCAAAAATCAGGCAGAGTCCCTTGAAGGTACAAAGTACTTGTGGGCTGCAGAGAGAGGGCAGCAAAGGTCACTGGCAGAGATGTGCTGGAGTTTGATGGGCAAGGCTCAGGAAGGACTTTGAAGGCAAAGAGGAGGAGGAGGAGAAGAAGGAGAAGAAGAAGAGGAGGAGGAGGAGATTGGATTTATACCCCACCCTTCACTACCCAAAGGAGTCTCAGAGCGGCTTACAAACTCCCTTCCCTTCCCCTTCCCACAACAGACACCCTGTGAGGTAGGTGGGGCTGAGAGAGCTCTGACAGAAACTGCTCTTTTTCAAGAACAGCTCTGACAGAACTATGGCTTGCCCAGGGGCATCCAACAGGTGCACGTGGAGGAGTGGGGAATCAAACCCGGTTCTCCCAGATTAGAGTCCGTGCACTTAACCACGACACCAAACTGGCTTAACTACTACACTAAACTAGGAGTCTGGGCTAGAGACAGAACTGGAAAGAAAGAGAAAAATCTGCTCCATTTGTGAGTCACAAAACTACAGTTTGCTCTGGCAGTCATTCCCCTCAATGATTAAACCCCAAAGCTGCAGTTTCAGGCCAACACTTTGACAGTATTTTCTAATGATGTTGCTGATTTGCAAACATTTCTTTTAAAAAGGGACAGACGATTCGTACTGGGATTTTTAAAAAGTGCAGACTCTTGGTGATTCCATGAGCCGGGGATGAAGACAGGTATGCAAAGTGTTTTATGAAGTGGCTGCAGGGGGCTCGTACCGAGCAGCATAACGGAGAGGCTCCTTGGAAGTCCAGCCACAACACTGTGCTCTCCCTGCTTCAGTTTCTGGCAGCGGAAAAGGTGACCCCCAGAGCCAGGAGAACACACGCACTGTGTGCACAGCTAAGCTGCTTTCTCATCTTCCAGCACAGAGCCTTGGTGTGCATGTAAATTGGTTCTCTTGATCCCAAAGTCAGCTGCCAAGTTTGCAATACAACTGAAAGGAAAGCTTGGAACGAAAAAACAGAAGAAGAAAAAAAAAACAGACTGGTGGACGCTAGGACCCATGAGGAATCTTGTCCTGAGGTAGGGGGACAGCTGGAAGTGGAAAATTTAAAGCGGCAGGCCAAAGATAAGCAGATCAGATGTCAAAAGTGGATGGCGTAGACCTATCCTCCCTTTGAAGCTCCTCTTAATTTCCACAGGACCTTTCTGAAGAGCCTCTCCCATGCCCTTCTCTCGGTGGAGGTGAACATGTGAATATATGAAGGGGCTGTATAATTAAAGGGACCTCTGATCCTCCCAGCCTAAAAACACCAACTGTGACTGGTAACAACTCTCTAAGAGAGTGGAAGAGGTCACAGAAGCCTTGAGGTATAAGGGAATTTTAGAGGCCATCTAAACAAACCACTCGCTCTGTGCAGAAAATCCAAACACAGGTCATTCACAAGTGGCTGAAGACTTCTGGCATGGAAGACCCCACTAAGCCTCTAAGGTAACTAGTTCCTGGGTCAAACCACTCTCACCGTTAGGATGCTAATACTCAGATACAAGTTTTAGAAAACAGTTTCTTAAAGTAAGAGTGGTGTTTCTCAGGACCTGCTACCCAAGGGCCATTTAACTGGAGGTGCCAGGAACTGAAACTAGGATCTTCGACAAGTCAAAGCACACACTCTACTAGGGAGCTATGGACCTTCCTATAACTGAAGATGCCACAGACAGTATAAGAATGCTTGCGAAAAGGGCAAGTTACAAAGAAAAGGTCTTACAAACAAGTAAGAGGCACCAGTGAACAATACATAAAAGGTAAAGGTAAAGGTGCCCTTGCTCAAAAGCCAGTCGAGTCCGGCTCTAGGGTTGCGGTGCTCATCTCCGTTTCAAAGCCGAAGAGCCAGCGCTGTCCGAAGAGGTTTCCGTGGTCATGTGTCCTGCATGACTAAATACCAAGGTGCACAGAACGCTGTTACCTTCCCACCGAAGTGGTCCCTATTGATCTACTTGCAATTTCTTGCTTTCGAACTGCTAGGTTGGCAGGAGCTGGAACTAGAGATGGGAGCTCACTCCACCATGCGGCACCTGGGTCTCGGACTGCTGAACTACTGACCTTCCACAGCCTGCAGCTCAGCGTCTTAACCACTTGAGCCACCGCAGCTCCCGAACAATACATAGAAGTGTGCAATTTCCATTCTGTTTCCTTTACAGGTCTAGGTTTCATTCTTTAATCAGATTGATGCTCCCTCGAAAAGGTGTTCGTAGTGCTGCAAAAGTGTTAAACCATTCTGCCTATAAAGAATCCACAGCTCTGCCCATGGTTCAACATGCACCAGATGGTAAAGTGATGCAAGAGGAAAGCCTCTACTCACAGGATCGGTCAGCATCGTTCTCAGGTGAGAGGACAACGCCAGCACCGCCAAGCAGTTGAAGAGCACCCCGTTGATGAGGGAGTACCAAAAGTCTTTGGAAGGCAGCAGCATGACAAACGTCACTACAAAATCTGCATAGACAACGAGGAGCCATGTCATCACTGCGCAGACCATCCCGCAACCATCACGGATGAACCAGACCCTGTCGGCCATGTCAGCCTCCGAGGACGACGAATCGTAGCTGTCATTTTCGGCAAGCAGCGGGTGATGCTCAACGTCACGGAACCTGTGCCCAGATGACTGCATGATTTTCTGGACGGGCCCTGGAGGAAAATAACGAGAGGGCAGTGATGCACTATGGCACTTTGACAGCAGACGTCACGTTTTGTTACGGTGGGATGCAAGAGGCTCTCTTTGGAGAGGTTACAACCTTGTTATAAACTTTGCAAGGAGACAGACTTATAACATAAAAACTTTGAACTTACACTTGCAGTGGTCCTCACATCTTGCCTCTTCCCTTTCTCTCTCTCTCACACACACACACAATTTGTCATTGTCATCAGGACACATGTGCAGCTAACCCCAGTGGTGCACAATACAAATTGGTTTGAGAGCCACCTGCACATTCTTACAGATTCGGAAGAGGCAACATCACTGCATTGACCTTGGGGAGAGCAAGAGTGTGCATTATGCAGAGAGAGGACATAATGGACCAGAGAGAGAAAGAGGCAGAAAGACTTTAGGGAGAGAAGAAGCTGTGGGGAGCACAGAAGGCGGGGGGAAAAAAGAGGATTTTAACAGACAAAATCCCTTATTAAAATGGCAACACGAGCTGCAATCACACACAATTAAATGTTGGGCTTTGGTTGTGTTATAGCAATTATTTGCAACTGGATTATCCTGCGTGGAGGGGAGGGGCCGTGGCTCAGTAGAAAAACCTCTGCTTTGCATGCGGAAGGCCCCAGGTGCAAACCCAGGCGGCTCCAGTTACAAGGACCAGCCAGTAAGTGATGTGAAAGACCTCTACCTGAGATGCATGAGAACTGCTGCCAGTCTGAGTAGACAGTACTGCCCTTGGCGGACTGATGGTCTGATTTCATGAATGGCAGCTTCGTGATGAACTGCTGTGTGTTCATGCGACAAACTAATCCGGTTGCAAAAAAAGTGACTACAGAACAGTACTGTGATAGCCAGTGATGTGCAGATGCACCCACAAACACTCCCCACATATTAAAAAAACCTCCCTACAAACAGAAAACTGGCATGTCACAGAGAAAGATTTTAACCAAACAGTGTGCCAACTGTGCTGTTTTCTATTAGTGGGAACGTTTATCGCCGAGCAACATTCAAAAATGTGCTTCTTCCTCCTACCTTAACTCTTAAATGGGATTATCCATTCTACCCCTCTGGAGAGCCAGTTTGGTGTAGTGGTTAAGTATGCGGACTCTAATCTGGGAGAACCAGGTTTGATTCCCCACTCCTCCACTTGCACCTGCTGATGTGACCTTGGGTCAGTCACAAGCTCTGGCACAGCTGTCCTTGAAAAAGAGCACTTTGTGTCAGAGTTCTCTCAGCCCCACCCACCTCACAGGGTGCCTGTTGTGGGGAGGGGAAGGGAAAGGAGTTTGTAAGCCGCTCTGAGGCTCCAAGTGAAGGGCGGGGTATAAATCCAATCTCTTCTTCTTCTTTGTTTCTACCACCACATCTTGCAGGACAAGGTGCACAGGATTGCTGCCAATTTTTAGGATCCCAAGAGCGGCAAGGATTTCCTCCCACCTTCAAAGCAAAGCTAACAAATTCAGTGTTCGGTTGGAAGTCCACTCAAGCCACAGTAGCGCAATGGCATAGACAATGAACTATGGATAAGGAAGCACACACACACACACACCCCCGACTGAATCTTCCCCTGCCGTGAATTGACTGGGAGGGTTACTTCATCTCAGCCACACATTTATGAGATGGGGGATAATCCTACTTACCCACCTTACAAGGTACTGTAAGAATGATCAGGTCTAGCCTGATTTTGTAAGTTCTTGGAAGCTAAGAAGGGTTGGCACCGAGGACATCCAGGGCTGCTACCGAGGTGCAGGTGATGGCATAAGAACACGAGAGAAGCCAATGTTGGATCAGGCCAATGGCCCATCCAGTCCAACACTCTGTGTCACACAGTGGCCAAAAATACCAGGTGACATCAGGAGGTCCAGCAGTGGGGCCAGGACACTAGAAGCCCTCCCATTCTCCCCCCCCCCCCAGCACCCAAGATATCAAG